CTGCGCGCGAAAACTGAGTATCTCTAACTAAAATCTCAAGAACGAATGCGTGTCAATCCTGATCGTAATTTTTAAAGCCAACCGCCCCCCCCCCTCCCCCCCCCCCCTCCCCCCCCCCCCCCCCCCCCCCCCCCCCCCCCCCCCCCCCCCCCCCCCCCCCCCCCCCCCCCCCCCCCCCCCCCCCCTCCCCTAGGCATCCGAACGAACCCGTGATTCCGTATTGCCGTTTGCTGCAGATTCATCGAGCCTAAGTGCGATGTCTGCCACGCGTTCTACTGGGAGAATCCGAGGTTTTGTGACGATTCGGTTCCAATAATGCCCGCAGAAGCGATTCTAATATAGAAGACAGCACTCGCGAATTTTAAGCTAATGTCCTACTTTTTAGCAGGTGCTAAAACTGTCCTTCGTTTCTAAGAATAGCTGAGGCAAGTGCACTGTTTGCTAGATCATAGATTGGCGACCGACACGAGCCGCCGCATCAGATGAAAGAAGTGCGCCAGCCTTTGATAATGGTTATCAGCGCACGCAGCGCAATCGAAGCCGTCAGGCCCACCAACGTTTGCGAAGCCGTTTTTTGCCAACACCACGAGAGGCATCCACCGCAGCTACTGTCTAATATGACTCACCTGAGGCTGAGAGTGGACAACATACCTCTCGACTTTTTCCCTGACTTAATAATATCCTCAAGCACTTACCGCTACATCAGAATCAGATGCTGCCCCGTAATACTCAAGTCTGTTTTATCTAAGGATTTTGATCCCAGACTCTACTCCCCGGGAGGTTCATTAATTTGGTCGAATCCCTAGAAATCACCTCTAGAGATCGAAAATACTACCTACATTTTGTCCATTAACACAAGTATGTCATACTGTTGGAAAGTTGCCTTGGGTAGCAGTGGAGACGTGCTGTATTGAAGGATATAAAGGGTTGATCCGTATAGCCAACGACCTTCCTAACCGTTCGAAGCAGATTTTTCTCGGGATCGCCAAAGATGCCTCGCCTCAACCGTTTCCGCTCCTCGTCTCGGCTTATGAAGCAATCCCGTTGGCCTTTCGGTGTGCGTTTCGGGGGTCCGAGGCCCCCATTTCATGAGTATATCTTAACCGCCTCAATGGAACCACGCTTTCATACCAAATATCAGGTATGCGGCGAGTTCGCGAGGGGATAAAGACGAACTTGCTGTGCACGTAAATCCGTATTCTCTGTATACTTCCGCAAAGAGAGCGGCTGATAATTTGGGCGAAAGAATTTACTCCGGCGGCCCCACTGCGTTCATCGTCATCATTCACCAGCAGCAGTCTTCAAGCGTTTGCGGTCCGTGTCAGGTTGAAACCAACACGCGCATAACTCAAATTGCAGCCATCTTTTTTCGGATTGCTTCTCACAGCGACTTGAACCGCTCCGATCTAGCGCATACCGAGACGATTAGTGAACCCACTCGCCTTCTCTACCCTTACACGCCCATTTTCGAGTTGGCACAGGACACCACTCCTCCATGGCGGAGCCGTAACTTTGAGATCCGGCGGCGCGAGTTATACATCTTCCGATTGAGGATACCCCCCGCCATAGGGACATAATGGCCATATTGGCATCCGTGCCATAATCCGAGCATCAAGCGAAGCCGAACTCGGCCCCTACCCGGTTCCTCAATGTATAAGCCGTCAAAACAGTCTCAAGTTTCGCCGAGCTCGCGACTCTGCCCTTGAAAACAGCATCGCTTTGAGTTTTACCGGGTATACGCCTGCCCGTAAATAGATTTGGGCTAGTTCTCGACAGACACACCCGTGCCAACTGACGCCGTATAAAGTATTCGCGCTTTTTTTACGCCGACATATCCTTTCTCATGAACCCCTCGGCAATCGCCTGCCCAATCGGCAAGGAAGAGAGGTCTATATCCACACCTATCTCATATTAGCCCCAAATGACACCCTGCCCCACTAATTGACCTGTTGAGGACGCACCATACGTAAAGGCAGATTCAAAGAGAAGCCACAGTCGCTCCAGTGCAGGCATTAACGTCTGAATGCGATCACCGACGACCCCATCCGCACATCTTTTGGTAGCCCAAGCCACCTAACAAGCCACCGATCCGAATGCGAACTTGGTTGGATTGGATATTCAGACACCGTCTACGCACCACTGATACGACATACCCTAACACGCACAAAAACTAACTTGTCTGTCGGACGATACACAATGTTTTCTATGCCCGATATTCACCGTGTCATGGTTGAGGAGCTGAAATACCTTCACAACCCCCGCAACACTTACCCCAGAGCACACAACGGCGCCTGAGGACGTTACCACCCATATTTTACCATTTGTGCCTTTTCCGTTATTTTTGCCACCTATACTTCTGTGGCATACAAGTTTCCATCTGAGACCTCCAAAATAGGTTTAGGCTCTAAATTATATCATAAACCATTTTAGACTTCAATGGCGACGTTTTATTCTTACTTTCTCACACACCCTAAAGCAAGTAATCAAATCATGCTTTCATTGAGACCAAAAACAAGGAAATCTATGGTCAAAATATACATTTTACTTTAGCATCAGAAGCATTGGCGAGCGCTTACAAGCCCAAGCCTGGTCCTGCAACGCATATAGGTCCGGGTTCTCCGTGACCAAAGGAAGGGTGGAGTGGTACCTACCTGTTTGTTTATTGAATGTGCAAGCTATCTTCATATTTACGATAAGTTATCGCCGCTAACCACTAAGTTGCCATCTGAGACAACAACGCCTGATTCAATTCCTTTAAAACCGTAGAAATAGAAAGACACGACAAACATTATTTACATTGAAAGCTATTGTATAATAATATCTTAATATGGTAATAATAACAGTCACCCCAGAACTAAACAAGAGCAGGAGTAACAACTTTTAAAGAGTAGAGACCCTGGCTCCGCTAGGGTGCAACTTGCCTAGCAGAACATTTTAATTTATCGCATAATCGATAAAAAGTCAAATAAAGATTCTTTGTTCACGGGCTGTGTCAAAGTTTTTGGGCATTAAGTGATCTTTTCTTTGCGGACGGATTTGTAAACCCCGATTGTATCCCGATCATAACCCTCAGTTCTACACTTTTGACTTACACACCCTCTAATCCCGCAAATCCTATATCTGTGAATCCCTTTCCCAGTAACCGGTTGGCCCGCTTCAGACAATCAACACCCGCATTACCAATGTGAATCTCTAATCTTCATACAGAACAAAGCAGTCCGTTTTGAAGTTCGGTGTCACTTGCGTTCAACCCGGCGGCCCCTTTTGAAAATTAATTTGAACATTCCTAAAAATACACTATAATATAATAAGTCATATGTAGAGGGTTCTCAGATGCGTTCTCAAAAGGTTCATATCCTGCCCAGCAGAAGCAGAGTAGAAAACAACAGCGAGCACACAGAACCCCTCATAAACACTACGCCGGAGAGCCTCCGAAGAGAATAACACATTGTAGCAAACGCAAAAAACGCAAACTTCGAGAAAGGAACCGCGGGGACCACTGCGCTTGATAACGCACACATTTTGCGTTCTGCGTCGAAAAAGAGCAAAACGCAAAACGCAAAACGCAAAAAACGCTATCTGTATCCACGCACTGCTTTTGACAAAAATATTTACACACCCTCTTGGCTTTTGTTTTGATTGCCGACTTCGAAAGATTTGCCCGGTGTGGGAAGTCTATCAAAGATTTAAATTGCCTGTCCCGATCGAAAGAAAATTCTTTGTGCTTTTCCTTTATATATTTATGAAATACTAACGGCTTGAACCGATTTGAGATAGTGTTAAAAAGCACTTTGAATATAAGGAGGAACTGGCGGCCAATTAACGCGGTCACGCGTTTTTAAATGGACCAAGGTATCTTAATGAACAACGAAAATGGCAATGACAAAGCTTGTCCACCGTTGCATGTGGAAGAGAGAGGAGAGAAAAAACACTCAGCCTGAAGAATCACAACTGAACTGTGAATCTTTCAGCGAAAAAGTATCGCTGAGCGAGACGGAGACTACATAGAAGCTGTGCAAGCAGAGACTTCAGCAACGATGCAGGCGTGAGGGTCAAGACTGAAGTGTTACACAGGCGTAGTGAAGACGCAAGTGCCTGACCTGGCGATACGAATCTAAGCCAAGCTGATGAGACTACCCCGAAGAGGCGGTAGGGTAGAAGTATCGCCCGAGGTGCATACTGATTCTGAGAAACAACAACGCTGCACCCGATGTATTACACGCGTCCTTGAAGCAAGGCGGCGCAGAAGTAATCGCGAGAGTGATAGATGATACATGAATTAAGCAAAGCAGCCCAGCAACGCTATACCGATATACCGCGCCCGACACGCGCACACGGCCGGCAGACGTAATCGCGAGTGATGCTGATACTGAAAAGAGAAAGCAGCAAACGCTTACCGATGATACAGCTGCTGAAGAGTATCGTCTGGTAACCTGCTGTTGAGGACAGCGCTAGACACCGGAAGAGGTTGTCGGAACCTGATGGTCCGGAAATTCTTGAGGGGAAGCGTATGATAATTCGATAAGGCGTTTAATGCGACGGATTGGAGATGATTAAGGTAGTTTCGTCGTAACGAGTGATCAATCGTGATGAGGTATATGATGATTTATCGGACTTTAAATACTGAAGGCATATATCCCGCAATCGCGAATTTGAGCCTGGGCACGCAGGGGATCGCGCCGGCACTGCTGTACAGGCTGGCGCGATGATACGATAGTCACTAGCTGCTTCTCTACCCTTCCATCCATTTCCCTTTTCACTCGCCCCGTTCCACCCCTTATTCTCTTTTGTTTTTCTGATTCTATATCGTGCGTCGCGCGCGTTCCGAAGGACAAATAGTCCTTCAAAGAAAACGCCGTACACGCACGCTCCATTTGGGACGCGAGATAGCGACTGCGCCATGAGAGCCCCGGTTGCCCCGCCTAGCAGGGCCCCATATCACTGAACGATATAAGGGTAGGATTGCGGATGTGAGCGCGTCGGAGCCCTACGCGGCTTTTTACCCGCTTCACAAGTTGAATTGCGTCCTATCCAAAACCTTGAGCAGTATGTAGGACAGACGCTGGATATGAAAGTTATCAGCCTGAGCAAGCGGCGGCATAACATTGTTTTATCTCGTCGTGCATGGTTGGAAACTGAACTTGTCCAAAAGCGATCAGAAGTTCTCAATACATTGGAAGTCGGTCAACTTGTGACAGGTGTCGTGAAAAATATAACCGCTTTTGGTGCGTTTGTTGACCTCGGTGGCGTTGATGGTTTACTCCATAAAACAGATATGGCGTGGAAGCGCATCCATCATCCGTCTGATGTCGTCTCGGTTGGTGAAGAGGTTGAAGTCCAAGTTATCGGTATCAGCCAAGAAAACGAGAAAATTTCGTTGGGCTTGAAACAGAAGACTTCGGACCCATGGGCAAACATTGAGGAAAAATATCCAGTTGGCTCTACAGTTCACGGGGTCGTTGTTAATATTGTGAACTATGGCGCGTTCTTACAGTTGGAAGAAGGCGTTGAGGGTTTGATTCATGTCTCTGAAATGGCATGGACGCGTCGTAATGTTGCCCCCTCACGAATCGTCAATAAGGGTGATGATATTGAAGCCATTGTGCTTGAAATCTCAAGGGAAGACAAACGCATTTCACTGGGACTCAAGCAGCTGCAGCATAACCCATGGGAACTCTTGGAACAAAGGTCGCCCGTTGGTAGCAAGATCACCGGCCGTATCCGAAACTTAACGAGTTTTGGTGCGTTTGTTGAAATTGAGCCGGGAATTGACGGGTTAATTCATACTTCTGATCTCTCGTGGACTAAACGCGGTGCCGCAGCCAATGAGGCACTTAAGGAAGGTAGTGAGATTGAGGTCGTTGTACTACAGATTGACGCGGCTGAACGCCGGGTCTCATTAGGACTCAAGCAGACGCAACCTGATCCGTGGGGAGAAGTACCCGAGAAGTATAAAGTTGGTTCTGTGGTCCGAGGTAAAGTTGTCAATCTCACCAGTTTTGGAGCGTTCACCAAACTCGAAGAAGGCATTGAGGGTCTGATTCACATCTCTGAACTCGCTGACCGGCGAATTGAAAAGCCGGAGGAAATTGTCTCCGTAGGCGATGAGTTAGACTTAAAAGTGATCAACCTATCGCCGAAAGATCGGCGCATTGGGCTGAGTTTAAAAGCACTCCTCGCCGAACAAGAGCGCGCTGCAGCACCTGATGAAGAGGAAAAACCAGCAAGAACGCGTCCCGAACGCCCATCTCGCTCGCGACGAGAACGGGAACCGCGACGACAATTGCCGGTACACGAAGAGACTGTCACTACATTGGGTGCCTTACTCAAGGAGGAAATGGGCAAGTCAAACGCTGAGAACGTTGAAAGCCCTGAGCGCGTTGAAAATGTTGAGAGTGCCGAGAGCGTTGAGAGCATCGAAAACGTTGAGAGTGCCGAGAGCGTTGAGAGCATCGAAATCGTTGAAAACGTTGAGAGTGCCGAGAGCATTGAGAGCATCGAAATCGTTGAAAACGCTGAGAGTGCTGAGAGTGCTGAGAGCATCGAAATCGTTGAGAGTGCCGAGAGCGTTGAAGGCATTGAGAGTGCTGAGAGCGTTGAAAGCACTGAAGATGCCGAAAACGTTGAGGTTGCTGAGAGCGTTGAAAGTACTGAAGATGCCGAAAACGTTGAGAGTGTTGAGGATACGGAAAACTCTGAGGATACGGAGAATTCCGAAAACACGGAAAACTCTGAGAATTAGAGTTCTCCGTTCCTTTGTCTCAGATCCTTGCTTTCGGAGGGGAAACCAAAGACAAAACCCCGCTAAATATGGACCGGGGTTTGTTTGCTTCCGTTTTCGTTATTAATTGTACGGGTGGGTCTATGGACCCACCCATTATCTCTTGTGCGAAAGACTCGGCAAGCCACAGAGACCTTGCCCTACAAAACAGGGCAGAAATAGATACGTAGACTAGGAGACGCGGAATTGAGCAAGAATTTTCTGTTTACGTCCGAATCTGTCACTGAAGGACATCCGGACAAAATTGCGGACCAAATCTCTGATGCAGTACTTGATACGATATTCACAACAGACCCGATGGGTAGAGTTGCCTGTGAAACCTTGGTTACAACCGGACTTGCTGTCATCACGGGTGAAATCACGACTACCGCAAACTACGATGCCCAACAAATCGCACGAAAAGTCCTTACCGATATAGGTTATACTGATATTGAATATGGTTTTGATGCCGAACGAAGTGCTGTGTTGAGTATTATTGATAAACAGTCTCCCGATATTGCAATGGGGGTGAACCCTGGTGGTGCTGGAGACCAAGGATTAATGTTTGGATATGCCTGCACCGAAACCCCTGAATTGATGCCGCTGCCAATTACTCTCGCCCATCAATTGGTACGGCGGTTGGCGAAAGTTCGCAAAGATGACACCCTCCCCTTTATCCGTCCCGACGGAAAATCTCAGGTAACTGTTGAATATGTTGACAATAAACCTAAAGTAGTAACTACAGTTGTTATCTCTTCACAACATGATCCGGATGTTGCGGATACTGAGTTGCGAGAAGCGATTGTTGAAGAAGTTATAAAAAAAATAATACCTGAAAATCTCCAACACCCAGATATTAAATATCATATTAACCCAACAGGACGTTTTGTGACTGGCGGACCGCAAGGAGATGCCGGGTTAACAGGCAGAAAGATTATAGTTGATACCTATGGCGGATGGGGCGGCATGGTGGAGGCGCACTCTCAGGAAAAGATCCAACCAAAGTAGACCGGAGCGCAACTTATGCGGCACGACACGTCGCCAAAAATCTCGTTGCAGCGGGACTCGCAGAACGGTGTGAAATTCAGATCTCCTATGCAATCGGCAGAAGAGACCCTATTTCTATTATGGTAGATACGTTTGGCACTGGCGATGACGAAGCTCTCACCGCACTTGTTAACACTCACTTTGATTTAACACCAGCAGGTATTATTGAACGCCTAAAATTAGCGCCAACCTATCTATCAGAACACTGCTGCGTATGGACATTTTGGGCGCGAGGAGCCCGGTTTTACTTGGGAAGAGACCGATTACATAGAAAAACTCCGGTAGATTAAAAAACATTCGAGAATACCGGTAAACAAAAGGAAATTAATGAACTACGATATTAAAACAACAGAACTCGCAGTGGCAGGCAAACAACGAATTGATTGGGCAAACCGATTCATGCCTGTTTTGGATTCCATCCGTGCAAGATTCCAAAATGAACGTCCCTTAGACGGGTTAAAGGTAGCCGCTTGTCTACACGTCACAACTGAAACAGCAAACTTGATGAAGGCATTGAAAGCAGGCGGTGCCGAAGCCTTTGTCTGTGCATCAAACCCGCTCAGTACCCAAGACGATGTCGCTGCATCTCTCGTTGTTGACGAGGAGATCGGCGTTTTTGCCATCAACGGCGAAGATACAGAAACCTATTACAAACACATTGATGCTACGCTTGATTTACAACCCACCATTACCATGGATGACGGTGCTGATCTCGTTTCAAGACTCCATTCTGAGGAGACTAACCCCGCTTTGGTTGAGCAAGTTGTCGCAGGAACGGAAGAGACAACAACCGGTGTTATCCGACTCAAGAGCATGGCGGCTGAAGGTGTGCTAAAAATATCCGATTATCGCTGTAAATGATGCGCGGACGAAGCACTTTTTTGATAACCGATACGGCACCGGGCAAAGCACACTGGACGGTATCATCAGGGCAACGAACCTGTTGATTGCTGGAACGACAGTTGTCGTTGCTGGTTATGGGTGGTGCGGCAGAGGTGTCGCAAGCCGCGCGCGTGGCTTAGGGGCAAACGTTATCGTAACCGAGGTTACCCCCTTGAAAGCTTTGGAAGCGGTGATGGACGGGTTCCGGGTGATGCCGATGCAGAAAGCCGTTCAGGAAGCGGGACTCGTTGTGACACTCACAGGCGATATTCATGTCTTACGTAAGGAACATTTTGAAGCGATGAAGGATGGAGCGATTATTGCGAATTCCGGTCACTTCAACGTCGAAATTGATATTCCCGCGCTCGAAAAGTTGAGCGTTGATAAGCGGAGCGCGCGCCCTTATGTAGACGCATATACACTTGAAGATGGTAAGAAACTCTACCTTATTGGTGAAGGTAGGTTGGTGAATCTCGCTGCTGCTGAGGGGCATCCCGCGAGTGTCATGGACATGAGTTTTGCCAACCAGGCACTGTCGCTTGAATACATTGCTAAAAATCGTGATCAGCTTGAGAATCGCGTGTACGATGTTCCTGAATCTATTGACGATGCCATTGCACTGTTGAAGCTGCAAGCATTCGGTATTGAAATTGACACACTCACGGCGGAGCAGGAGAAAATATCTCAACTCATGGGAAATGGGAACTTAGCATCATTTCTTGGCACTGTTTCATATACTGCAGTACATGGTCTGTCCTTATAAGTTCAAGTATAGTCTTTGCTAACGAGGTTTTAAACCTCGTTAGTTTTTAAGAAGACTTTAGGTATTTTCGCTTTGTGAGGGCTACGTATGAAGAAATCAGAAATTTTGGAAGGTGTGATAATACTTCTGTCGGCAGTGTTATTGTTACTGATCTGGGCGGCATCTTCTCAGGCAATACAATTCCCGCCGACGTTGTTAAAAGTGCTGAGTTTTTTGCAGTATCCATTAGTCATCGTACTCGGTGTGATTTTCGTTCGCCGATTGCGACGGATTATCCGCGCGTTTCGCGAAAATAAAAATAGACCGGGTCCTTTCTGATTTTATAGTAATAGGACTTACGCAGACAGGCGATAAAAGGTTCTTTACTATCAACAGATATACCTTGGAAATACGTGTATTTCTCAAAAGTTTCCGTAGGGTTTGTAGTCGCGCAATTCATTGCGCGTTGCGTAAGTCTTGGTAAATTTATGAGGGTTTTGGTCGTCGGTACAGTTACTTTAGATACGTTAGAAACGCTGAGTAAATGGATTGAAATGTTTTTGTACATTTCGGAGTATGTTGATACAACAACGATTTTCTTGGGATCCGAGAAAGAACCGGACCAACATTGTAAAACACCACATCAGTTTTTCCAAGGCAGCGAAAATCTTTGATGGTCCGCGCCTGGAAAAAGAAGACACCCGTAGAGACTATGGCGAAAAACGGATGCTTGCATTGGGCCGAAGTGAAGGACGGATTCTTCGTGTCGTCTATACACGGCGCAACTCATGCATCCATATCATTTCAGCCAGAAAGGCGAACACCCATGAAAGAGCAGAATACATACGTCGAATACAGTCGTTCTGAGATAGACACACAGTCGGATGAGACCAAATGGAATCGCTTTGATGCCCTAACGGATGCGGACATTGATACTGCTGCAGCCTCTGATGAGGACGACCCTAAAACGGATGCAACCTTCTGGGAAGATGCAACCGTGGTGATGCCGGAAAATATTGTCGCTATTGATCTGGACCTGTTAGAGTGGTTTAAGACACAGGCACTTGACTATGAAAACGCAGATTAACACAGTCCTTCGGGAATATGTTGAGGCAAACGCCGACAGTTAGCCAATCTGCTGTCCAGAGGCATGATGCGAAAAAAAGAAGGTAGTTGATAATTCAAGGCATGTCACAAGAGGATTCACAATATGGGGGTTTTGGTCGTCGGAACAGTTACTTTGGATACAGTAGAGACACCAAGCAAAAGGGTTGAGGATGTCCTTGGGGGCTCTGGTGTCTATGCTGCTGTCGCCGCGAGTTTTTTTGGGAACACTGTTCAACTTGTTGGTGTCGTGGGTGCTGATTTTCCGCATGCGTACACGGACTTCCTCGAAACGCGCGGCATTGATCTCCAAGGATTAGAGCGGGTTGAGGATGGCAAATCATTTCGATGGGGCGGTCGTTATGCTGAAGACTTTAACGTGCGCGATACCCTTTTTCACGGAATTAAATGTTATTGAGGGTTTTCAGCCGGTGTTGCCCGAAACTTACAAAGATACCCCCTATCTTTTCTTGGCGAATAACTCACCTGTGTTGCAACTGAGTATCATTGAACAGGCGACAAATCCGAAACTTATTGTCTGTGATACGATGGATTTTTGGATTAATGAAGAACGAGAGGCGTTAGAGGCACTCTTAGCACGTGTGGATCTCCTCATCTTGAACGATAGTGAAGCGCGACTACTGACGGGTGATTCTAACTTGGTGCGCGCCGCAGAAGCGATTCTGCACTATGGTCCAGAGCGGGTTATCGTCAAGAAGGGTGAGCACGGTGCCATAAGTATTACGAAATCATCTTACTTCAATGCACCGGCATATCCGCTCACGGCAGTAACCGACCCGACAGGCGCAGGCGATAGTTTCGCGGGTGGGATGATGGGATACCTCGCTTCTGTTGGAGATACGTCAGAGGAAGCGATACGTAGTGCTATGGTATATGGAGCGGTTGTCGCCTCTTTTAATATTGAAGATTTTAGCGTTGATCGGCAAAAGCGTGTAGAGTTTTCCGAGATTTCGTCTCGTTATCGTGAACTTCAAGAAGCTGCCCGTTTTTAGTGCAGACTGTGAATCGCCCTATCGTATGCCGCTTCAGCGGATTCCATCATCATTTCTGAGAGGGTCGGGTGCGCGTGAACAGTGTGCGCTATATCCGCGGCAGATGCTCCCAAACGCACCGCAACTGCGGCTTCATGGATAAGCGTTGAAGCTTGCGCGCCGACGATATGAACGCCAAGAATATCCCCGCTATCGGCATCAGAAACGGTCTTAACAAACCCGTCCGTCTCGCGTAATCCCAACGCCTTCCCGTTTGCAGCGTACGGGAATCGTCCGACCTTCACCTCGTAACCCTCATCCGTCGCCTCTTTTTCTGTCATGCCGACATGCCCAATTTCGGGTAAAGTGAAAACACACCACGGAATAACCTGATAATCCATTTCAACGCTGTCACCTATGCAATTTTGCGCAGCGACTTTTCCTTCTGCCGATGCGACGTGTGCTAACAGATACCGACTGGCGACATCCCCAACGGCATGAATACCTGAGACGTTCGTTTGCATCTTGGCATCCACGACGATTTTTCCGCCCTCGGTGCGAACACCAACCTTTTCTAATCCGATCCCCTCAGTGTTATAACGTCTTCCAATCGAAACGAGCATTTTTTCTGCTGTAATCTCTTCACCGGATTCAAGTGTTGCTGTTACACTTGCGTCCGATTTTTTAACGTGGGTGAGTTTAGCGCCAGTGTGAATAGTGATACCTTTCCGCTTCATGAAAAGCTGGATATGACGGATAACTTGGACATCCTCAGTCGCCAAAATAGTCGGAAGAAGTTCCAACACAGTTACCTTGCAACCGAGTGCATTAAAGATTGAGGCAAACTCGCATCCCGATACGCCACCACCAACAATCAGCAGGCTTTCAGGGAGTTCTGTCAGGTTAAGAACGCCTGTTGTCGTCAAGACTTGGTTTTCATCAATTTCAAAAACAGGTGGTTCTGCCGGTTCAGAACCTGTGGCGATGACAACATTTTTCGCATGTAACTGTTCGGTTGTGCCGTCGGGTTTACTGACGATAATGGTGTTTTTATCGGTAAGTGTTGCTGTTCCGTTGCGGGTGTCAACCTTGTTTGCTTTCAGCAGTTGTGAGATGCCTCCTGTTAGCTGCTGGATGACTGCGTTTTTGTGAGCCAATACCTGTGGATAGTCAATTGTAGCCTCACCACTGATATGCACACCGAAGTCAGATGCTTCCTGAACTTGGGTAGCGAGGTTAGCAACAGCAAAGAGGGTTTTCGTCGGGATACATCCTCGATTCAGGCAGGTCCCACCCCATTCTCCTTTTTCTATGAGACAGACGCTACCACCAAGCTGTGCAGCTTTAATAGCTGCAACGTATCCACCCGGTCCTCCGCCGATAATCCCGACATTGTATGTAGACATAACTGCTCCTGTTCTGTGGAATGGATTGAATTGTATCACAAAGGCCGAGGGCTGTCAAATTCAAAACATTCAGTTTTGGGTCGACACGACAATAAAAAAGGCGATTGCGTCCCAGCATTACTACTGGTATCTACAATCGCCACTACATTTGAATTGTAGTTATTTCCAAGAGAGTGTCTCCCAAAATAGTTATTCTGCCAACCCGAGCCTTTGCCCTGTGCTTTTCAGTTTCTGTGTCATCTGTGTTATTAGTTGGCTGACGCGCGCTTCAGAGATTTCCAACGCCTCGGCAATCTCCCAATTTAGATGATGCTCACGAATACGGGCGAAAACGTCGCGTTCCCGGGGGGTCAACATTTTCAGGAGTTCCGGCAAGGCACACTCAAAGGAGATGTCCCGGATGAGTTCATCCTCAAATGCAGCGGAGGGGTCTGGAACTTCCAACAACCCTCCGACATCCGAATTGACTTCGGCATCTGGCTCCTTGCACGAATCCCACGCTGCATAGAGATTGGGCAGTTCACGGTTGCTGTGAGTGAGTTCCCTGCTTTTTGCGTCCATCAAAGTACCACAGATTCGTGGGCGGATGAAGGTACCGAAAGTTGCGCCACTGTGATGTGCAGGATTGAACCGAGGCCCCTTGTCGAGGAGCACCATGGAGGCAATTTGCTGCAAATCTTCCCGGATATCGGGGCGCTGCGGCGAAGCATACGCTATACAATCCGCACACCGGTTCAAATCCGGCAGCAGCCGTTTTATCGTTGCGTCATCAGGGCAGAAAACCCCCTGATGCTTGTAACACGGGCATTTTATACCTGGCAATTGACATTTCAAAGTCATCTATTGTCCTCCATTTCGGAAGGATGTAGGTTTCCGTGCATCTCTCAAAATCTATGAGGTGCGAGGCCCCGCTACTATTATCTATTATACCGCTTTTGCGGGGAAAAGTCAATACTTATACTATTTCTATCAGGGTCATTTAGTTTTAAGCAAATTCTCAGATTGTCTAAATTTTTGGATCTTCTTTTTCAAGCCCGGCGCGGTTCCAAACCGCGCCTACCGGGCCTGGGGGGTCCAAAATCGGGCTAAAAACCGAAAACTAAATAGCCCTGCATTTCTATACAGAGCCATTCAATTGTCACGAATCACTCTTGTGGGAGGGGTTTGAAACCCCGATTCTTGCGGACAGCCGCGCGTTCCTATTCCCGATAATGCACTCAGAAAACCGAAAACTGAATGGCTCTGCATTTCTATATGATTACTTTTCATTAACAAAAACACCTTTTGTAGTCGCGCAATTCATTGCGCCTCTTACATTCGCTTTCTGTATGAATACCAATATGTCATAAAATTTCCTAATGAAATATTATATTTCAGAAATGGTATTATTAACATTCATTCAGAGCCATTCAGTTTCATAGGAAAGGCCCGCTGCTCGCGGTTGAATGCCGAAACTGCAGCCTCCTCGGTATCAAAACGTTCAAAGAGGCTGACGAGCCGGTTTAGGACGATCAAGTTCCTGATCTTTTTTTCAACATTGATAATCCCGATGCGGCTTTTCTTCTGCATTGCAACCACATGTGCATTTACCAGCATGCCGAGTCCGGAACTGTCCATCTTGTTAACGTGCTCGAAATTGATGAGAATGCATGCCGCATTGGAGGCATCTAACTGCGAAGTGAGTTTCTCTCGCAATTCCGATACTGCGGCTCCAATTATCTTACCACTCGGTTCCAAAATTACGATGCCGCCCGTCAGGCGAATTGTAGTTGCCATCTGTCTTCTCCTTTTTCCTTCGGGAAGTTGAAATATCAATTCATGATACATGAAATACCCACTATCTTAACTATAGAGATGAAACGGAAAAAGTTAAGGGCCCCTTGCAGAATTATGAGGCATTTCTCGTTTTTTTTTCATTTTCCCGACAAAATAGGCGATATTTTCTCAAAAAAATGGAAAAAATGAAATATCCCCACTTTGAAAACGAAATGCCCCCGCATTCCGTTTTGAGTCAACTGCGTGCCAGCCTTCACTACCGGCAGCTACAATCGCCGCTACCTTTGAATTGTGGTTATATTTCCAAGAGAGTGTCTCCAAAAATAGTTATTCTGCCAATCCGAGGCTTTTCCCTGCGCTTCTCAACTTCTGCGTCATCTGAGTCACCAATTGGCTGACGCGCGCTTCCGAGATTTTCAATGTTTCGGCAATCTCGTAATTTTGTTGATCTTCACGAATACAGGCGAAAACGTCGCGTTCCCGGGGGGTCAACATCTGCAGGAGTTCTGGTAAGGCAGCCGCAAAACTGATGTTCCGGACGAGTTCCTCCTCAAATTCAGCGTGAGAGTCTGGAACCTCCCACAACCGCCCGACATCCGCATTGACTTCAGCCTCCGGATCTTCGGACAAATCCCACGCGCCATCAAAACTGGGGTGTTCGCGCGTGCTATGAGTGATCTCCCTATCTTTTTCATGCATCAAGGCTCCACAGATGCGTGGACGGATGAAGGTACCGAAACTCGCCCCACTATGATGTGCTGGATTGAACGCAGGGGCCTTTTTGATAAGGGTTAAGGAAGCAGTTTGGAACAAATCGTCTTCGAGATCGGGGTGTCGCGGTGCAGCGTATGCCATGCACGCCCCACATTGATGCAAATCCGGCAAAAGTGATTTTACCATTTCATCATTGGGACGGAAAATCCCTTGATGCTTGTAACACGGGCATTTTATGCCCTTCAGTTGACATCTCAATTTCATGAATTAACCCTCCCATTTGGAAAGAAGAGTTGTCTTGTATCCATTGAAAATTGATTAGATACCAATATTTGCTACGATAATCTATTATACCTCTTTTAACGGAAAAAGCCGAACTAAAATCAGCAACCTTCACTTTTTTTGTAGAAGAGCTCTTCTGAAATTACGGAAACTGCTTTCACTGATGATCCCTTCGTTGGCCCATCAGTCAACGTGTGCAGGCTGTTTTATCTCTCCCCATTGCGTTGTCAATTTTTCGTTCGGTGAAACGGACAACGCACCTTCTCTCCAGTCCGGCGCGAAGTCGTGTCCCGGACTGTTTGTCAGATTGATGATTTTATCTGTGGTGAGATTGTATTGATAGATATCATACTCACTGCCCGGTTTCTCAGGTTCGTATGCTGAGATGAGAACGTGGTTTCTGCCCCTCCAACAAAGAGAGGTCGCTACCCAACTTCGCGGTGTCTTTAGAATCCGATGCCCCTTAGTATTCCAATTTTGAAGGATTATCCGATCGGGCCCATCTTCACCTTCACCGAAGAGTAGCTGCTGACCATCAGGCGACCATTGTGGAGAATACCGGAAAACACCATCTTCAGGGATAAGTGCTTGCCGTTTTGTTCCGTTGGATTTCATCGTGTAGATGGTTCTCCACTTTTTCGGGGCAGTTTGCACGTAGGCGATATAGCCGCCATCCGGAGACCAGGTGGGGGAATATGCATCAATTCCAAGTGTCTTATTACGCGTCAACTGCGCCAACTTTTTGCTGCCGAGATGGATCGTAAAAATATTGTTTGAAGGGTTTTTATCGTCTTGTCCCCCTGAAAACGCGATACGTTGTCCATCAGGGGACCAAGCCGGATGCCATGCGATTACAAATTCTGGGGGGGTGATGTTCTGCTGTGCACTTCCGTCACTATTCATGAGAAATATCTCTGATTTCTCGATGCGCCTGTTGGTTTTCGAGGCATGCTTGATCCTGTCAAACGCGATATGCGTGCCGTCGGGAGACCAGACAGGGGACCCATCAGCATCCGGATGGGTTGTTAACCTTTGGACGTTACTGCCATCGTTGTCCATCACGTAGATTTCATAATTTCCATCGCGTTTGGATTTAAAAACGATTTTCGCGTCGACAAGTGGTGTCAAGGCCAAGAGGAGACAGATGCTCGGTAAAAGTCTATACATTAGGATCACTCCTTAGCGGAATGGAGGCTGCTGGTGACAGCCTCCATTAAAAAATAAAAGCATTAATTGTGATCGAACCTAATCCAGGCTGCTGCTTTCCTAGTTACCTCGCCTACCGTCAGACGAGAATATGCGGAGAGCGTGTATGGTTCATCACGTCTGGGTAAACCGGCTAACGAGAGGAAATTAGTCGTGCCATAACTAAAAGTGTGTGTCTCGTTTGTGACAGGATTGTACCGACGGGCTGTCCCACTGCCAGAGCTGGAGGTATTATAGTTAGGTTGTTCATCTACCTGGGTCCAAAATTTATAACTACAACTCACGTCATCATTTTCCAAATAGTGGTAAAATGAGACATCATGCCCACTTTCGACATAAGGTGCGTTACCTTCTTGCTGAACGTAGCTGAGATCCCCGCACCATGCATAACCGTATCCATATTTGGTGACATCGTCTTCTTCAAATTCGACTTCAAAGGAGATGGAGGCCTCGGGTATATCCGAGTGTGTAGAGATACCAAGGGACATTACTGTGAAAAGGGCGAGGATCATTATTGTGATGGGATTTCCCATGCGTTGAAACCTATTTGTCATTGGTTTTCTCCTTGATTTTTCGCGGATTGTTTCCGAAGGCAAAAGGTAAGGTATCTACTTCGTGGCAATCCTTTCCTGTTAGATGCTCACCTAAATTTCGCTTGGGGAAAGTTTCGCCTTCCCTTGCATATTAATATACATCTGAAACTGCAAAAGTTAAGGCCTAATTTGCATTTTTTCACAGATTTTTTTCAAAATTCGCTGTTTTTCCGCATTTTCCTTTCAAATTTCCTAAATATCTGTGGAATATCAACATAATTCTCTAAATTTGACAAAAAAGGCGAGGGGTGCTACAGTGGTAGTAGTCTTGAAGTAGGAGAATGCGGATGTTTGATGGGTACTCCCCAAACCAATTTGGACCTGGGCGTTCTGCTGTCATTTGCCAACATGGTGCAGTTGCAACAAGCCAACCGCTTGCGGCACAGGCGGGACTGCAGATTCTACGCGACGGTGGAAATGCTATTGATGCAGCGGTAGCGACTGCCGCGATACTCAACGTCGTCGAGCCGATGTCAACGGGCATCGGTGGCGATGCCTTCATGCTGGTTTATCAGCCTAAAGACGGTGTAATCCGCGGCTTGAATGCAAGCGGTAGGGCACCGCACGCCGCAGAACTGGAATTCTTTACTAAGCAGGGGTTAAGCAGTATTCCGTCTTTTGGGAGCATGTACCCCGTTACGGTGCCTGGCACAATTGATGGATGGGCAACGCTCCTTGACGAATGCGGAACAATGTCATTGGCAGACGTGCTTCAACCTGCTATTGATTACGCCGAGAATGGATTTCCAGTCAGTCCACAGATTAGTCTCGCGTGGCAAGGGAGCGCACCGATGTTAGCGCAGCATCCCGATACGGCAAAGACATATCTTACAAATGGCAAGGCACCAGTGCCCGGTGAAATCTTTCGTCAACCTAACCTCGCACGGACGTTTCGATTGATTGCGGAAGGCGGACGCGATGCCTTTTATCAAGGTGAGATTGCCGACAAAATCGTCCGATTCTCCGATGAAAATTGCGGGCTGTTCACACGGCAAGACTTCGCTGACCACAGATCTGATTGGGTTGAACCGATTTCTACGAATTACCGCGGTTATGATATCTATGAAATTCCGCCGAATGGACAAGGCATCGCTGCACTGATCGCACTCAATATCGTTGAGGGTTTCGACCTCGGGGCGATGGGGCATAACCGTCCTGAACATCTACACTACGCAATTGAAGCAATGAAATTGGGATTCGCGGATCTCTATAAATACGTGACAGACCCGACATTTGTAGATGTACCCGTAACCGGATTGCTCTCTGAGAACTATACGGAAAGCCAACGTGCGCGTATCTCACCAGAGCGTGCGAACACAGAACCGAGGGCCGGTATTCCCGCAATGGGAAGCGATACGGTATACCTCAGTGCCGTTGACAGTGATCGAAACGTTGTCTCTTTCATTAACAGTCTCTTTGCTGGCTTTGGCTCAGGTCTGACTGCTGGTGATACAGGTATCATGTTGCAGAATCGGGGTGCAGGTTTTTCGCTTGATCCGAACCATGCCAATTGTATCGCGCCTCATAAACGGACGTTACATACGATTATCCCCGGTATGATTGCCCAAAATGGGGTGCCATTGGTTACCTTTGGGATCATGGGAGGGCAGATGCAAACACAAGGACATTTACAGTTTGTATGTAATCTCATAGACTTCAATATGGATGTTCAAAATGCATTAGATGCTCCAAGGTTTCGGGTGATGGACGATTCTCGGATAATGCTGGAGACAGGTATTCCAATGAATGCACAAGCCGCGTTGGCACAGAAGGGACACCATATTAAACCGGGGAACACTTTTTTTGGGGGAGGGCAAGCGATTTTTATCAATCCGTCTTTTGACACGCTTGTCGCAGGTTCAGATCCGAGGCGTGATGGGTGTGCCGTCGGCTATTGAGGCGAGGGGTAATTTACTTGACTTTCGGTTTAAATTAGGGTATAATATTAAGACTAACAGTCGGTTTTGACTCAATAATAGAGGACTAAACCGAAGCATGTAAGCCCGCCAAGCCGGTCGCGAATCACCGTTGATGCGATCGCGGATCGCTGTTGATTCGAGAGGCTCTCTCTTGCCTTGGGGCGCGCTATTTTCGGCAAGATACGAGTAGTCAGCGTCCGACTTAAGCCGTACAACAGACCTATCCAACCCTGAAAGCGAAGTCCGTTTTCCGATTTGTTTGTATCCATAATAAAAAGGGGTATGGCTAAGGCACGCGAACCTCGCCCCGCAAATTAAACACGAAACGGCGAGGCATAAAGAACTCGCTCTACAATGCCAATGGAAAAGAAATATAGAAGAATGTATGGAGAGTTAGTTTACAAATGTACAAGGATTTAAACGAAAAAGATGCTTGTGGCGTTGGTTTTATCGCGAACCGCTTCGGAAATCGGAGCCACGAGATTATCAAGATGGCGACGCAAGCGGTAACAAATTTGACGCACCGGGGCGCGGTGGCGGCGGACGCAAAGACAGGCGACGGGGCAGGTATCCTAACACAAATCCCGGAAAAATTATTTCAAAAAGAACTTGAGAAGCTTGGAGTCCACTTAGCGTCGATAAATGATATGGGTGTCGGGATGATTTTCCTGCCACGGCATGACCGGAGCGCACAAGCACAAGGACGCGCACTCGTCGAAAAGACGTTACAACAATACGGCGTTCCGCTCCTCGGATGGCGTTCGGTGCCTCTGGACCTTTCTGCGCTTGGGACCAAGGCTTTAGAAACCATGCCGGAAATTCAACAGGTATTGGTAGGGCGGCCAGAGCAACTTGCAGACGACGCTTTTGAGAGACGCTTGTACTTGATATGCAAAGAGTTAGAACATCGTATCACAGCAGCAGGACTTGACGAATTCCATATCGCATCCTTTTCGCATCGAACGATTGTCTACAAAGGGTTGCTAGTAGCACCGCAGCTCACGCAATTTTATCCGGACTTAGAAAATCCAGATTTTGAGGCAGCACTTGCTGTTTTCCACCAACGCTACAGCACAAATACCTCTTCTACGTGGATGCTCGCTCAACCCTTCCATACGCTTGCACACAACGGTGAAATCAACACCTTGATGGGCAATCGGAACTGGATGCGGGCGCGCGAAGCCGACTTGCAGTCGCCCCTCTGGAACGAACATATCCAAAAACTTGTTCCCATTATCAACCAACACGGTAGCGATTCAATGAGCTTGGATAACGTGTTGGAGTTGTTAACACATTCTGACCGTGGTATCCTACACGCCATGATGTGTCTGATCCCCGAGGCGTATGAACAGATTCCGGATATGCCGGATGTGCTCAAAGCCTGTTATGAGTACCTCTCATGTGTCAGTGAACCTTGGGACGGACCATCGGCGGTCGCGTTTACGGATGGTGTTGTCGTTGGTGCAAGTCTGGATAGAAACGGTTTACGACCCGCACGCTACAAAGTCACAGAAGACGGAACCGTTGTCATGGGTTCGGAAGTCGGTATTATTGAACTTGACGACAGTTGCGTTGTGGAAAAAGGACGTTTGGGACCCGGACAGATGATTGCTGTGGATACAACGCAAGGGAAACTGCTGAAAAATTCGGAGATTAAGCATAGTATTGCCGAACAGAAACCTTACGCCGAATGGGTACAGAAAGGCATCGTGACGCTTCCTACTGAAAAAGACGACGCTTCTGCTACGACGGAAACTGTTCCTGAGCAGCTGCCGATGTACCAGAAAGCGTTCGGCTATATGACCGAGGATGTGGAACGATTTATCAAACCCATGGTAACGGAAGCGAAGGAAGCGATCGGTTCGATGGGCGATGATACACCGCCTGCTGTGATTTCTCGGCATCCCCGGTTGCTCTACAGTTACTTCAAACAACGTTTTGCGCAGGTAACGAACCCCCCTATCGACTCGATCCGGGAACGTTTAGTGATGTCGCTCACAACTTACCTCGGGCGGCGGCATAATCTGCTCACGGAAACTGAAGCACACGCTCGACTTATTCGGTTACCTTCACCAATCCTGACAAATTCAGATTTACAAGCGTTGCAGGAGTTGAATATACCCGATTTTCAGATAACGACGCTTTCTGTTTGTTTCCCAGTATCTTCCGGTAAACGAGGGTTGGAAACCGCGCTGGAAGCGTTATGCGAATGTGCCTCCGAGGCAGTTGATGCCGGAATAACACTTCTCGTGCTAAGCGATAAAGATGTTAACCCTGATTCCGCTCCGATTCCGATGGCGCTTGCTGTTGGTGCCGTTCATCACCATCTGATTCGAGAAGGAAAACGGATGCGGGTAAGTCTTATCGCTGAAACCGGAGATGCGAGGGAAGAACACCATTTTGCTGTCCTGATCGGTTATGGGGCAGCCGCAGTCAACCCTTATCTCGCGTTTTCAACGATCGTTCAGCTTGCTGAGGACGACGAACTCGCTGGACTCACGGCAACGAAAGCAGTTGAAACCTATAAGGCAACCGTCGAAAAAGGTATTTTGAAAATTATGGCGAAGATGGGAATTTCGACAGTTTCCAGTTACCGCGGTGCTCAGATTTTCGAGGCACTTGGTGTCAATGCAACGGTTATCGATAAGTGCTTTACAGGCACCACGTCACGCTTAAGTGGCATTGGGTTTGCCGAAATTGCTGCGGAAACGCTCCATTTCCACACAAAGGCGTTTTCAGGAAGCGAAAACGACGCATCGCTTGAAGAGGCAGGCTATTTCCGATTCCGTAGAAACGGCGAATTCCATGCGTACAATCCAACGGTGTTTAAATCGCTCCACCAGTTCGTCAAGGCTGGTAAGTCGGAAGATTATGAGAAATATGTTGACGCTGTTGAGACTGGTGAACCTTCCAGCTTACGTGATCTGCTTGCATTCAAGCCGAGCACGCCTATCTCAATTGAAGAGGTAGAACCCGCGGAGGATGTTGTTCGGCGTTTTACAACGGGTAGTATGTCTTTCGGAGCGTTGAGCCGTGAAACACACGAAACCTTGGCAATCGCAATGAACCGCCTCGGTGCAAAATCTGGAAGTGGAGAAGGTGGTGAAAGTGCTACACGCTTCAAGCCGCAGCCTAATGGCGACCTCGCTTCGAGTGCTATCAAACAGGTAGCATCCGGACGTTTCGGTGTGACACCAACATACTTAATTTCTGCGAAAGAATTGGAGATTAAGATGGCGCAGGGGTCTAAACCTGGAGAGGGAGGGCAAATTCCAGGGCACAAAGTAACCGCTGAAATTGCCTCTATCCGCCACTCCGTGCCGGGAGTTCCGCTAATTTCGCCACCACCGCACCACGACATCTATTCTATTGAGGATTTGGCGCAGCTCATCTATGATTTGAAGCAGGCAAATCCGCAGGCAAAGGTCGCCGTAAAACTGGTATCCGAATTTTTAGTGGGAACCATTGCTTCTGGCGTAGCAAAGGGCTACGCCGATGTCATACAGGTGAGTGGACATGAAGGTGGTACCGGCGCATCCCCGCTCAGTTCCATTAAAAACGCAGGCACGCCTTGGGAACTCGGACTTGCAGAAACGCAACGCGCACTCGTAACAAACGAGTTACGAGATCGTGTAGTTTTACGAGCAGATGGTGGCATGCGTTCTGGACGCGATATTGTCATCGCCGCTATGTTGGGAGCAGAAGAATACGGATTCGGGACAATAGCGATGGTAGCAACCGGATGTATTATGGCGCGCCAATGCCACCTAAATACATGTCCGGTTGGTGTAGCCACGCAAGATCCGGCACTCCGGGCGAAGTATCCCGGTACTCCCGAGATGGTCGTCAACTTCATGCTCGGTGTAGCGAACGAGGTTCGCTCTATTCTGGCGAATCTCGGACACAGATGTTTGAACGACATTATTGGTCGTCCTGAATTGCTACAACCGATAGACCTTGCAGATTATCCGAAAGCCGGAATGCTTGATTTGAGCGAAATTCTGACACCTGCTGATCCAACCGGCACACAGCCCCGTTATCACTTACAGGAACGCAACAACCGAGAAGATATTCCGCTCGACGATCAGATATTAGAGGATGCAGCAGAAGCGATCGCGCAGAAAACATCCGTCCAACTTTCTTATTCTATCCGGAACATACACCGGACAGTAGGAGCGAAGTTATCAGGCGAAATCGCAAGGCATTATGGCGACGCTGGTTTGCCTGACAGAACGATTCAGTGCAGTTTTGAGGGCAGTGCTGGACAAAGCTTTGGTGCCTTCTGTATCAGCGGAGTCCAACTCGTGTTGACCGGGGAAGCCAATGATTATGTCGGAAAAGGCATGGCCGGTGGAGAGCTTATTATTAAAGCCTGCACCAACAGCGTCGTTCCGAACTTCTGAGAATACGATCATTGGAAATACGGTCTTGTACGGTGCGACAGGTGGGGCACTTTATGCAGCTGGTGGTGTCGGTGAACGGTTCTGCGTCCGAAATAGTGGTGCTACCGCTGTCGTTGAAAGTGTCGGTGATCACGGTTGTGAATATATGACCGCGGGTACAGTCGTAATTCTCGGCGAAACAGGTAGAAACTTTGGAGCCGGGATGACAGGCGGCACTACCTATGTCTTGGACGAAAAAGAGCAGTTTGAGAAGAAGTACAATGCGGATTGGGTGAAGCTGGAAAAGGTAACGGGTGAGATGGATATTAAGAGCCTGATGGCACTTATACAAAATCACGCAGCATACACGGGTAGTCAACATGCTGAGAATATTCTCAGCAATTGGGAGGCGTTCCTTCCACACTTTTGGAAGGTTGTAACACCACCACCGCCACCGCTGCCAGCACCGGTCCAACTTAAAAGGAGAGCCGCAACTCGGAGAGAGCGGAAGCGATAGATTCCTGATTAATCAACAACTTAGAGTTAGAAATAAATAACGCCGTGCTTGCGAAATCCAGCAAACACGGCGTATCTGTTTGATTGACATCCTTGATTGATTTCATTACCGATCTTAATTAGCAATCCTGACGGTAGTATTAGCGGTGCGAGCGAACCCAATTCTATCAATACCCGCTTGTTTGAGTATATCCATGACATGGACGATTTGCTCATGGAAAACCTCATTACCTGCTTGGATAATCACCATTATTTTGACATTTTCAGGCGCGTTGATAAGCCAATTAAACATATCTCCCGTTTGCACAATTTCTTCTCTACTCCCTTGGTGCATGATGATTGTACCTTCAGTTTCACCCGGTGCAGGGTCGGCGATCGTTACGACAATTCCAAGGTCGCGTGTTATGGGTCTATCAATCGGTGGAGGGAGTTGTACCCGAAGCCCGGGGATAGGGGAAAAGGTTGTTGACACCATAAAAAAAATCAGGAGCAGGAACACACAATCAATCATAGGTGCCATACTAAGCGTTGGGGGTTTGTGTCTCTTGAGATGTTTCATGCTAATGTGCCTCCGTTTGTACGAAAGAATGACATTTCATTCATACTATTGTTAGCTTTAAAACACCTGAGAGTTTATGAAGTTACGCGTGTTCTTCAACAGCTCTCCGCTTTTGATTAACACGCTTTATCATGAAAACCTCGCTATGGTATGTAAATATTTTGTCATAATGGAAACCACCGAAAGCACTATGCACCTGTCGCCCCGCTCGGACTTATACCCAATTACCTTGATTAGAAGTCTTCGGCTCATGTCAAGAGTAAGTGCTTTTGACGAGTTTTGATATAAAATCGACAGAGACAGATTTCAGATTCATGATAAACTCAGCGATTGCGATGTACCCGGCGAGAAACTTTTTATGCACGCCCCGAAACGGATGCAGAAAGTTTCGCAGTGTCGTCCAAACGCCTTCAATAGTGTTGGTGTGGGTTTCGTAAATACCATCACCGTCTTCGTCTCTCGCCCACTCGCCGTCCTTATGACAGACGATCATGTGGGCGCGGTCAATGCGGTTATACCCACGCCAACCATCTGTATACACGGTGGTTGTCGGCAGCGTAAATGAATGCACATGTTCTGAAAGCGTCGCGCTATCGGTTTGATGAACAAGACGTAATCTCAGCAGACCACTTTCACGGCCTTTTCGTCCCCACAATAGGGGGACGGTCATTTTCATAAGTGCCATGTCCTTTGCGTTTATTGCCACGCCGACGCGGCGGATCCGAAGCGTCTTTATGCGGATCGCCTTTTTCACCGGCGTTTTGAAACATCTCATCTGTTTCTACCGCCGCATCGGGTAAAGCGGCTTCAGGCTGCAGCTTCTCCGCAGATGCCTGAAGTTTACGCCTTATCGAAAGCACCGTCGGACGACTGATGCCCAATTCACGTGAGAGTTGAGAACTTGAAACGCCTTGACAGATACCCCGTAAAAGCAGAACCACCTCTGGAGGGCGAAACTGGGTCCCAGCAAAGACCGTCCCCGTATAGAGGTTGTAAATGCTCTTGCAGTGTTTGCAGCGATAGACTATAAGACCACTTGTTTCAGTCTTACGGAAGTTGCGTGCCTCCGACACGCTCGCTTGGCATTTTGGGCAAGACAAACCTTGAGGGTGAAAATGATCCAACACCCACGCTTCAGCCTTTTCTTCATCCATGAGAGATTGTATTGGGAGTCCATAGGGAACACTCTAACATACAGGGTCATTCAATTGTACGATTCCTCATTTTATGAGGTTAACTGCGAGTTTAGGTTTGGCTGCGAAAAGTTGGAGTGCGTCGGTAATTTTTGTATGTCCAGTGCATCGTAAAACAGAGATGGCTGTGTTTCGCAGAGCTGCCATGACTTGAGGCATAACACCGGTTCGGACGCATGATGCATCTTCTTGAAAGACAGTATCTCGGATCCAATGGAGTTTGTTCTCAATGGTCCAATGCTCTCGCCGGAGTTTGAGCAAGTCAGCTGCCGAGGCACGTTCGGGTGTCAGACTTGTGATACCATACTGCACGTTGCACTTGACGTGTGCTGTCTTTTTACACATCTGGTGTGTGGTGTATTGATAAACTTGCTGTAGCCCCGGCCAGTCGGTGTGTTCCGTCAAGAGCGTACTTGCGGTGAGGGTGCGTGTGGTAATCCTGCCTTTTGCGTCTTCTGTGTCCGTATAGGTTTGCAGATGTGCGCCGGCAACCTCTGCGTGAAGATTTTCAAACCGGCGGTGCTCCACTTCGGGTGGGTCTGTTTCATCAAAGGGTTCAAAGAGGTCTCGAATATCTTCATACAACTGTTTCTGATTCGCTTTGACGGGGAGGCAGTAATCTGCTTGATGCTCAAGGATTTCTTGACAGAACTTGCGTTGGGTCAAAAGTGCGTCCGTGGTGATGACGAGCCCTGTGATATCAAAGGAAACCTTCAAGAGTTCAATGGAAACAGGGATTTCATTGGTCTTTTCACTGACGGCACATTCTGCGACAGGGATACCTAACTCATGAAAGACGGCTGCGAGCAGATGTGTCCTGCGTGCGTCTTCGGTATGACTGTTGCCTAAGGTTTGGTTTCCATCTATCGCAAGTCCCTTCAAGTCAGACGTGGAAATGTGCGAACTTGCTAAAGTCTGTGTTGTCCACTGCGTAAGGGTCTTTTCTACAGTGTCGATGTCAAGACGCCGATAGAGATAATGAAACGTTGATGCTGCGGGGGTTTGCTTCGCCGTGAACCCCAAAGCCTGTCGGAGGTCTGGGTGGAGGCGTGCCCATTTGGCAATCTGTGTATAGCTGCGTTGTCCACACAGGAGCCCGACAACCGTGAGTGCGAGCATTGCGGCTAAGGGGTGGCGGCGTCCTTTTTTCTTGCGTGGGTCTGGCACTTCTGCTAACATATTAAGTAAGTGGCAAGAGGAGGTTTTTGTCATGATTCACCTGAAAAACTTGTTAATTTTAGGGTGAAGTATAGCAGAAGTCGCGTGAAAAGTCACGCGACTTCTGCTTATCTGAAATATTAACACCTGTGAAAAATATGACACCAAAAACCTACAATTGAATGGCCCTGCTCTAACATAACTTCAAAAAAATAGAAAGCACTTACTTTTTACATGAGCCGAAGTCTTTTGATCAAGTCAGTATTGCGAGGCACAGGGACCTCGCAATACAAATGGGGTTAATTTGGTATTAGATACGTTGCAAAATCGGGATTACAAACCCCTTCCACAAGAGAAAGGGACACCTACCAAAAACTTTACACACCCCTCGTTATCACTGAATTAAAGCGATTTATAGTGCAAAAAAAAAGGCAGCAAACGCTGCCTTTTTTAACTATGTTGCGTTCCTCAGTTTTCTTCCGACACCGCGAAAGCAATTTCGAGACCTTCCCTTTTACTAGAGCGCATTTTCACACGCTCTACGACATCAATGACATCTCCGTGCTTCGCACGTTTGTCCGCCTTGATAATCAGGGTGCTGATCTGATTTTCGTGGGCTGCAATGTAAAGCTCCATATCTTCCAGCGTCAACATCTCTTGGTCATCAATCGAAATACGTCCATCACTGTTAATGAAGAGGTTAAATTTCTTTCGCGTGAATTCGTGTTGCGTTGCAGAATCCGGTAAGGTGACGGTAAAAGGCGGAGGAACCTTCATGATAGCGGATACCATGAAAAAGATGAGTAACAAGAAGACACAATCGATCATTGGAGCCATCGGAATGTCATCATCATCCTGTGTTTTCCGCCGTCGAGCTAAATCTAAAGCCATCTGAATTCTCCTTTTATAGAAAGAGGATTTACTATTGCTATCACTTGAGGGTTGTCAGTCTCTCGCGACAATAGCAAATCCAATTTTATCTATACCTGACTGTTTCGCAATATCCATCACTGCACGATCTGTTCATGCAGTACGTCCCGTTCAGATTGGATAATTAGCATGTTTTTAGCTTCATCCGGTGCGTTGATGAATTGGTTGAACATTTCTTCAACTTGGACGACTACATCATTCAACACCATAGTGCCTTTATCCTCGCCCGGTTCTGGGTTCGCGATCCGGACAGTCAAACCTTTCGGTTTGTCGGGTGAAGGTTTCCCTGGTGGGGGAAGCTGCACGCGGAGGCCTGGAATCGGCGAGAAGGTTGTTGACACCATGAAGAAGATCAGGAGCAGGAACACGCAATCAATCATAGGTGCCATACTGAGCGTTGGAGGCTTACGTTCCCTAATTCTGGTTGCAATCAGACTCAATTTGGCTTCACCGACTTGTTGCATTTCAAAGTCTCCTTTCTCGTTTCAGAAGCGAGCGAGTAGAATCACCCGCCCGTTCTGTTCCAAGACTAGGCATTATTGCTAGTTAGATTCACCAACAATCAGTTGATTGACAATTTCGGTAGAAACCTGTGAAATTTCAACCATGTGTCTGTTAACCCAGCTATCGAAAAGTTGGAAGAAAATCAAGCACGGAATAGCGACTGTCAAGCCAGCAGCAGTTGTGAGAAGTGCCTGTGAGATACCGCCTGCGAGTTGTTGTGGGTCACCGGTACCTTCGAGTGCGATTGTGGTAAATGCACTAATCATACCTGTAACGGTTCCAAGCAAGCCGAACAGCGGAGAAACAACTGCGACCGTACCGAGAACTGGCAGGTTTCTTTCCAGTTCAGGGATTTCAAGGAGGCTTGCTTCCTCAATGGCTTCCTGAATTTCTTCTTTGCTAATATCTCGTTCTTCAATCTGGGCTTGGCTGTATCTCAGCAATCCTGCTTTAAGAACATTAGCAAGCGGTCCGCCGGCTTCTTCACAAGTCGAGACGGCTTCCATAATGTTCTCTTTCCGCAATGAGTCGGCGATACTGGCGATGAACTGTTCAGTTCCAATTCGAGAACGGCTCCGCACAAAAGTGAAAAGTCTTTCAATAATGAAGGTTAATGCCGTGATGGAGCAGAGGGCGAGTGGCCAGAAGACGAATCCGAACTTCTGGAAGAAGGTAACAATATTGTCCTTTTTGGTCATTTTGAGCGGGAAGAAGTGGTCCCCGCCATTAACGACCGTTACAGGTTTCCCTTCTCGCGGGCCGTATCCGTCTCTATAGATACTAATGAGGTAGCGGCCTGCAGGGATACCTGATTGTTCATATTCACCGCTGGCATCAGTTGTTGCGGTATGTTCTGCTCCGTCTGCACCAACAATTCTGATCTCAACGCCTTCAATTGGGCTCTGTGCTGTGGATGTATCGACAATTTGACCTCGGACGGTTCCACCACTTGCCCCGGCACCGTCTTGCGCGAAAACAAGATCAGCAGACATACCGACACAAGCGACTAACATTAAAACAAAACTAAAACGAATCATTCGTTCTGGTCCTCCTTAGGGGACTTGCCAATTGTGTTGTGGCAAGTCTCTACAAGTTATCTCATAAAGTGCTGTATGGATAAGGCACGGGAATCGCACCTTAACAACTCAGTTTTATTTTTTAACGCGTGAGCGTTCCATCTACACAACAAATCTTCAGGTTAGGAATCAATATCTATATCTGTAGATCGTCTCTACTATTTACAACGCCGTTCTCATTAAGAACACCCGAGTGCTTAAAAAGTTACGCGCTTAATTTGCGTGTTGCTGAAAACGGTATCGCAGTTGATATTGCTAAATGCGGTATCGCTGGACACGAAATTGTGTCCAGCGATACATAAACCATCTAGAAGCCCATCATTGCTCGCACGAAGGTGGTGTTACTCGTCGTGTGATCGAGCAAGATAGTGGTTCGCCGATAACCCGCGAGGATAACAATATTGAACCCAAGCCATTCACCGCGGTTGATCGCTTGTACTTCAAAGATTCGGGTTCGCAAATCCGGTCTGTAGAGTATTGGGACATCTTCATCTTCCGGGAAGTTTGTCAAATAATTTTTGAAGTTATTATCCCGGTTGGTGAATTTCCGGTATTGGAAACCGCCAAGAATGTTCATCCTTTGCGAGAACTGATAGTCAAGCCGTACGCCGAGTACATCTTCACGACTTCTACGATTGAAGCGCAAGTATTCGACGGGTTCGTTATCAGTAGGAACGAACTGACGTGGGTTGAGGGAATCAGGAATTTCCTCAGCACCACGGTCGAACGCTCGATCCCAGATGTACTTTACCATGGGTGTGAGTGTCAAATCTTCGCCGATTCTATCAACAAATGGAAGTTCACCGAGAGGAATCTCGTATCTTGCTTTGAGAATCGTCTGCTGATTGCGAATATCGCGTTCTGGATAGCGCCGCGTTTTCCAGTTTTCGGAATCATAGATTAAACCCGGATCGTCAGGGTCAAGTGCGTTAATCCCATGATCAGGATAGAACGGGTATTCGCGTCTTTCACCACCAGCACGAACCTGTTCAATGGGTACCATGAAATCGACACGTTGATCGGCATTAAGCGGATCGTCTTCGTTATCGGGGTCCGGTGCCTCAGCATCTAAGAAAATAGCCCCTGCCTCATCCTGCTCAAACTGTTTTTGCAGCACAACGAGGAATTTTGCTTCTAAGGTGAGGTTCGGAACAGCGGTATAAAGGAACTGGAGCGTTGTGGTATTCACACGAGCGTTGTAGAAATCAAGCTCGTCGGAAATTTGAACGGGTTCCAATTCACCAACACGCAGCGTAATGGTATAATCTGGAATATCGTCTTGGACTCGGACGAAACGGTTTTGGAAGAGCACGGTTCCGAAGTCAGGAATGTCACGTTGATAAGTGACATGTAAGTATTTGGAGTCATTCTTCCGTCGGCTTGAGACTTCGTGTTCGTTGAGCCACCCGACTTTGAGTGAAAGATTATCAAGGAGGTCATATTCGGCAAAAACATGGTATCCTTCCCTGTCTACCCCGTACTCATACTGCGGTTCAAAATCGTCCTCAAGCGAATCTATCGTGCCGTTGTTATTCAGATCAACGAGGTCAGTGAAGACGGGTGGATCGGCATCAAAGATGAGAAAGTCTTCTTGGAAGTCCAAAATGCCGTTCTGATCTCTATCATCGGCGCGTGGTAGGACTCCATCAAAGTCGATGTCATCCGGCCAATCGTCGTCATCATCGTCATCTTCAATGAGGGCGTAATTAGTTTCATCCCACGGATCTTGTTCAGACTGTGATTCAGGTGTCCGTGGCAGGGAGTAGGGTTGATCCCTGTCAGAATTAGAACCGAAATTGAGATAAGTTGTCGTGTAGCCAGGATCGATATGATAGTAGACCCCTTCAAGGTACAACTTTCCGAAGCGAGATTTGAGTTGGAGGAACCATGCGGTTTCTCTTGCCATTGCTCCGTCGCCGCTTTCATCAGTTCCTTCGCCACCTAACATGGCTTCAAATCTTTCACCCTCGGTCTCAGAGTAGGTAGGTATCCCATTTGCGTCTAACGGCAAGCCAGTTGCTGGATCGACGGAGATGCCGGTTTCTTCCTCGCCATCTTCGCCTTGGATGGTCGTTTTGAGTCGGCTAAATCCGATCTGACCTTTGGGAATGGTGGGATACTGCTTATATTTACCGTTGATAGAGTAATGTGCTCTGAGAAAAACGTTACCGATAGTGCCTTCTAAGTCAAGTCCATAGAGAAGTGCTGCACGTGCTGCACCGTACTGGTAACGGATTTTACGCGGTCTGCCTTCACCTGTCCAGTTACTGGGATTATCTAGGAGTTTTGCCCGATTACTGGTGTAATCTGCGGATTGCCCATAATTACCGGGTGCTTCAATCACATCGCGGTACGGTGTCTGAATGTGGCCATCTTCAGTTTTAATCCATTCTTGGATTTCGGGATCTGACTCGGCTTTGTTGGCAGGGCTGGATCCGATAATGGCGATGTTGTAATCACCTGCTACAATCATTTCAAAAGTGACGGATTGAACAGTTCGCGGATCAACTTCAACTTGTACTGCCCCTTCTGAAAGGAGTTGCGCGACATCGGGAGAAGGCGCACCATCCGGATCGACAAAAGCGAGGACGACTTTCATCTTATTGAAGCCATCCACGATCTTCCACTCTCCGTCAACAGAATCGCGAATTTCAGAAGGCAGTCCTCCGACAGGCATCGGGATGACATCGTCAGTATAAATGTCAATTTTTTGCGTTTCTGTAGGTAGTGCTGTAGGTTCAGCACCTTCTTCAATTTCTTCGGGTGTCAATTCTTCCAAAGCTTGGGTCACAATTGTAACTGTCATGCTTTTGAAAGCCGCACCGACACCCCCCTGAATATTCTCGCTATGTAGAACTTCATCAAAGCCAGAAAATTGGCTGACAATACCATGATTGTCTTCCGGTGAGTCATCTCGTAAGACAACTGAAATTGATTCTGGGGGTGTATTTGCCACAGTACCCATGAGTGGGTTTTCAACGCGTTCGGGGTGTTCTTTGTGAAGATTGACATAAGTGAACCCGATACGGAAGATGTCGCCCAAAAGTCCTTGCGCCCGGAAACCGACAAGACGTGCGTTTTCAAGGTGCCGCACCCCAGCGTCTTCGTTTAGACCATTCCGACGACCCAGTGTCGGTGCGAGGTTTGCCGCTGCGTCTGTCAATTGGACAGGGTTTGAAATACGAGAATTGATGAGCGTGAAAAGGTGTCGTTCCTGCGCAAAAGAGATATCCCATCGAAGACCATCAAACTCTGTTTTGTAGAGAATGTAGCGGTTTGGGAATAACGTAGACGGCTTAAAACGCATGCTATCACCGATAGCAAACTCGGTATATCGTCCACGATAACTGTCTTCAGTTAAGACCGTTCTATCCAACTGTGCCGAAAATCTTTCACTATCAAGTTGACCGGTCCAACCGACGAACAATTCGCCGTTCTGGTCAAACTCTTTCTGCTCGCGATAGTTATAGACCTCGTTACCTTCAAGCAACTCTTTTCCAAACAGGTCATAGAAGAATTGCGGTTCTTCTTCTAATTGGAAACGCGCTGAGAATTTAGAACTCCCCTCAATCGTTGGCAATAGGGGTTCTTGTGGACCAAGGCTCTGTGCGCCACAACCATAGAGCACGAAAGCACTCAGAATACAGGTCGCTACAAGTAAAACATCAAGTGAGTGTTTTAGCCTGTTCATTACTTTGTTTTTCCTCCTTGGAGATAATGAATCGGATGTTTAGGTAACGGAACTGCGATATGAGTATTTCATCATTCGCACTCCATACCCCGGTTTCCGAAAAAAACCTTAGGAAATGGACGAAAACTGCTTTGCGTGTAAACGAAAAGTGTCAAAATTGCATTAGTTGAGAATAACACCTATTCAATTTCTTGCTTTTCGTCACTGCCGGATAGAATATCCGTAAATCGCGAATACCGCGCGAGGCGTATAAAAAGCGAGTCTCCTTCCAACAAATTAGGGGTTTGTTTTGCGAAATTTTCAATAAACACGTGATAAAATGCCTGCAAAACTATTCTTAGCCTTTAAAATAGCACTGATTCAAATTTCTGTCAACTTTTATTTTTAACAGAAAAAACGCATGCATTGGGGTGGAATTCCAGATAAGCATACCACAAATGTAATATATTTTCAATTTTAATATCAGTACTATTCATTTTCGATTTCTCTCTTGTTTTAGGGATGCGTTGCAATTTGAAAGTTGCGCACTTAAACATTTTCGGCGAAATTACGCCAATAAACGCTACACAACGAGGGGATATCCCTAATGTCGGACTAATTAATAATTGCCCGCTTGTTTACTGCCTCCCTGAAGACAGTAGAACCGATAACTAAATCGGAATCGGGCACTTCTTCTTAGGCACGCGTCGAAAATACCGACAGGCCCAAACATAAATTTATGTAAATACCACAATGCCAACGGATGTATAAATACCCGGCTGCGCATTGGGCATAATATAATTATACTACAATTTAAGAAAAATTGACATTTTTTTTACAAAGTTATTAAATTAATGAAACCTCGAACCGGAATTCGAGGCTGTAAAATTTTTAAACAAAATGTTCAGGTTTCTAAATTCGCAACGGTCCTATTAAAATATTCAATGAATAGAGCAGCTGTAACACCCAAAACTAAGCCAGTGATTCCCGCGATAACAAGGATAAATCTAAGTTGGGGACTAACAGGAATTTTTCTTGGTGTAGCGCGGTCAATGATTTCAATATCGCCTATCTGGTTACGAGAAGCAGGCATCTTGGATTCGGCATATAATATTTCAGCTTCAAGGATGCGTTTGGCAATTTCTTCAGCCAGCAGATTCATTTTCTGAATCTTGGTTTGTATTTGCGTGAGAATAATTTGGTTTTCGGGGATCTGTTCTAGCGATTTCGCCAATTCAGTTTCTAATGTTTCAAATTCTTGTGTGAGACGTTCTTGTGCCTTTTCGTAACTTGAAAGGGCTGGAATAAACGTTGTCAATTGATTCTGTATATAGGTGTAATGGGCAGAGGTGCCGGAAGTGATGGTCGTAGTTATCGGCGAGGTATCCTTGTTCTTCTTACGAATTTCGGCAATTTGTGCCTTAAGCCCCTCCAGTTCTGATGGGTTCTTGCCTGTTTTTTTTCTATCCGCGACATGCTGTGATTCGAGGTTGAAAAGCTTCTCTTGCTGAAAGAGCCAAACAGGGTTATCAGACGAGGTTTCAGATAGTTGCGTCTGTTTGGGCAATGCTATTAGTTGATCCTGTAGATACGTGATATGAGTGCGCGTTGCGTAGAGTCGCTGTTGATTTGCTTTAATCTTTTCTCGGGCACTCGTATAGCGTTCCAGCAAATTAGTTAGAATAGGCACCCATGTTTCCGGACTTCCGTTTTCGCGAGCAAATTTGAGATGTTCATCTAAATCTTGTTCTATTTTTACTTCGATTTCTTGTTGTTTATTTTCGAGGAACTCCATGCCTTTTCTGAGTTTCGTTTCTTCATCTCCACCCCGTAACATCTGCATGTCTTTTGCGAGTTGATTAACGAGGAGTGCTGCGTTCCGTTCCCCACCTTCTGCCTCGGTCAAGGCAACCGAAAGATTGATATAATCGGAATCAGGGTTTACTTGTGCCTTCAGCATTTGTTTGAGTTTACCTATAGGCGGGAAAAGCCCAGCAGCATCCATGTATCCGTTTTCCTCAAGGTTTTCTATTGCTGTGTTTAGCATTGATTCCGTGGAAAATCGGGTGCTGATTGTTTCCATCTCTCGTCGGTCAATACCGCTGGAGAGCACATTTTGAAACAGATTTGCTGACGGAAGGGAAGATGTCGCGCTGGGTTGGACGAGTAACATTAAGGTGGAAGCAGCGTAAGTTTTGGGCAAGCGGAGTGAGATAATTAGGGCGGTTCCTAACACTAACAGAATGGTTAGACAGAGCGTAAAGTCATGCTTTCGGATGAGTTGAAAGTAATCGCGTAGGTGTTCCTCCTGTTGCGGCATGAATGTACTGTATTTCTACCCGCCCTTTGGGCTAGAAATTGCCCTCCTTTTCTGAGCCTATAAGTTATTGGCAACGCGAATTTCTGCTTCGTTAAAGGCTTCGTCATGCCACTCGGCTATACGCCATTCGTCATTTCTCTTTTCAAAGATAAAAATGTTATCACCTTCGGCATACGCGCCGGTATATCCACCCTCAAGTGTTTGACCATCCGACACAAAGAATTGGATTCTGTAATGATTCCGAACCTCAGCCTCTGTGCCATCATCATTCATAGTAATCTCCGGCGGTGAAGAGAGCTCTATCTCAATATCCTGGAACCGATCAAAGACGCGAGTGGCAGAGGCGCGTTCCTCTCGGATATCATCAAACTCAACATCGTCTGTTTTATCGCCGTCTGTTCCCATATCAGAGACATAAAGGAAGCCATCTTCCCAGAATGTGTTAATGTAGGTGTTAACATCTTCCGTTTCGTAACCTTCTCGCCACTGGTCTAAGATACTACTGATTTGAAGGACTTCTTCAGCCGGAATTTGTCCGACCTTATCAGCGTCTCCACACCCCATAAAATTTGCGAGTAGGAGTAAGATGAGTACGCCGCTGACGTTGGCGAAATTCCTGAACATAGTAAGCATCCTCCTTTTTAAATGTTTTAAAAGGTTTTAACAATACCAAAATAAAAATGTGAAGGGGTCGCGCCGATTTCGATCCCCAATTTTTCAATATCTCGTGCATCCTGTTCAATAGATTGAATCAGGGTAGTTGCATTGTAAAAGTTGGCACTCACGTAAGAATCAATAAGGCTATACAGCCAAATACCGATGCCGGTATACATAAAAAATGTCTTGAGTTTGTACCTCTGGTTTGCATATTCGTAACTTTCTAATATCGCTTTTTCATTAGAGAAGCCGTCCCACACCAGACTTTCATAAGTCTTGTAGCGATTATTAAAGGAATTTTGTGCTAAAAAGGCACCAATGATGGAGCCACCTACCCCCAAGACAGTTAGGCTCCCTCGGAAGTAACTGCGACTATGAAATTGCCCCCATCCCGGAAAAACAGCGGAACGCACGATAGCTCCGATTGGCGAAACAAGTTTGACTTGTTCCACTGTTTCAGGCGTTTGCTGTTCGGTATTTATGTTGTTTTCAGCCTCCTGCGCAAAACTGGCATGGAGGCTGAACAACAAGAGTGAAATAATTAGCAAAAACCGCATTTGGTATGTAGACTTCACACATCCAAACGGTTATGCGAAGCCAGTACTGCTCCTATCAACGTCGCCGTTTCGTGCGTTGCGTTGTCTTGCTTGTCTTGCTTCGATCGTCATCGTCATCGTCGCTGCTACTGCTCGAACTGCTACGCGAAGAACTTGAACTTGATGTCGTCGGACGCGTCCGGGTCTTTGTAGAATTTGTAGAAGAGGAACGACTTACGCTTGAGCTCTTACGCGATGAACTTGTCGTTGAACGGCTTACGCTTGAGCTCTTACGCGATGAACTTGTCGTTGAACGGCTCACGCTTGATCGCGAACGAGACGAACCTGAATTTGATGTCGTGGTTCTATACTTCGGGCGCGAGCTGCTGCTTGTGCTCGACGAGAACGACCGGTTCGACGAAGAAGAAGAACGTCTGTAGAGCGGCGTAGTCGGCTGTGTAGGCCTTCTGTAGCGATTCACGTCCTGCGTTGTAGCAGTAGAATAACGCCGCTGCTTACTGAGCGTACTCGCTGTACTCCCTGCAGCGTAAGTGCTTTTTCGGACGTTGCTTTGGCGGAGTGTCGAGGCAGCAGAAGCACGGGTGCGTAGTTTCTGCGTAATAATTGATTGGCGCGCAACCCGTTCCGTTGTCGCTGGGGTCTGTCTCCGGTGGTTTTCAAGCGTGGTGCGAACGCTCCTCCGTACTGCTGTTCGACCTTCTTGTCGACTATTCGCGGATAATCGACTACGACTGTACTGCCGGCGTGTCGTTTCGTGCTGCGCACTCCAACGATTCAACTGTGTCCGTTGTTGATAAACTTTCGGCGTACCACGGTAGTAACTGTGGTAGGAACCGTAATACGGTGAATAGTAGCGGTAGTAAGCACTTGGATAGTAGCCGCGGTAGCGTCCGAGATACCCTCCATAATACGAACGGATTGAGAGATAGTGGTGGTCGTAAACCGGATAGCTCCATCGGAGATAGTGGTCGGAGTCCGTCGCGTAATAGACGGGACCATCATAAAAGTAGAGGTAAGTGTAACGATGCCACGGACGCCAACGGTAGGTCGGTGTGTAGCGTTGAATTACCCTAACTTTCGGCTGTCTGTGATACGTGGAGACCTCAAGGTATTCTACATCAATCTGCTCGCCGCCTTCGGCAACAATATGAAGTTCCATCCATCCATCTTTGACATGACCGACTGCAGGAATTTTAATGTGTTCGGAGCGGTTTTTCGCTCGAAGGACAAAAGTGTCGCCGTATCGTGTCTCTTTAGCGTTTTCGTCGTAGTAACCGCTGCGTGTTGTCTCGCGCTTGGTATTACGGATCCATGCGCGACCTGCGATAGGTTCGTCGTAGTCTTCAATTTCTAAGTGATGCGGTTCCCCTCGGTATCGCACCAAAACTTCAATATACTGTGTCCCTGCTGGAATTTCAAAGAGATATACCGCGCTGGCAATTGCGAATTCGTAGTCGTCTGTGTTCTCCGTGTTCTGAGTGTCATTTGCCCAAGCAGTGAGTCGAACACCGTCTTCAAAGCGTGGACTAGCAGTGATCGTAGCATTCCCGCGCTCTATCCATTCGTCAACATCGCTTGCAATGCGATGCTCGCGACTCAGTCGGTCTGCGTAATAATCGTAATCTGCATTCGCGGGGGTTGACAACCCAGCAATTACAAAACAGCTGATGAGGCATACTACGCTTAAAATCGAAATCCGGGTTTTCATGGTATTTTCCTCCTGTGTTCGTGTCCTTCATTTGGCATTACCGATAGGCTTTTATACCTATTGCGCGCGGTGCCGCGTGAATGTCAAAACTCCCTTATCATCTTAATCGCAAAACTATTACGGAAATGATACAATTTTCTCCAAAAATTGTCAAGGATAATTGAAGTTAACTAATTCTTTCGTGACTCCGATCACTTTCACCTATAGTTCCGATGTCCTGATCACAATTCCCAGTTTAAGATGGACAGACTTACTATTAATGCCGACAAAAACTAATAGCTCCGGCACTTCTTAACTTTTAGGTATTAGTTTAATACCTCTCTTTTTCGCATGCTCACGGGCAAGTGGTGTAATAATCGCTTGTTTTGCATAAACCAACTCTTGCACATTCGCGTCCAGATTTGAAATAGTCGTTGCGCTAATTAGAGGTTTGTCCAAACTGGTGGATGAGTCGTTTGTTCTGTTCTTAATCGACTCGGCAATCTGCATCATAGGTACCCATTGAACGCCAAGTTCGGATAAAACGTTTACATATTCAACCTCAATAGCATTAATTTTTGCGGATGTCTTATCTTGATTAAGGGCATCGGTAACCGCTATGACTGTTTTTCCTTTAGAGAGTGCTTCAAACACAAGATAGGTACACGGTGTGTCCACTAACCTTAACGCGAGTTTTGCAGCCATCGGATGCGAGAAAACAGGGAGTACGATCTGCTGGTAGCTGTCCACGAAAGCGGATATATCAGTTAGGTCATTTTCCTGCAGAATATTCTCTTCGCCAAATATCGCATGAATCGGTTCCAGATTTACAACTTTAGTTGCGAGATCAGATAGAATTATTGTAATTTTCCATCCGTCTTGCATGCAGGTATGGAGCTGCTGGAGTGGTTTATCCAATTCGAGTTGTGTCGCACCGAAGATAGCGAGTAGTCGTTTCTCGTTTGCAATTTGCGTAATGGTAGATGCTTGCTCCTCGAGTACCCTCTCTACGATTTTCCGAATTTGGTCAATCAGTTCTTGGTTCATGTTGCTTCAAAGTGTAGGGAGCCTAACGCATGATTTCAACAGGTTCGCCACCCTTCAAACCTGCGGCATTGGAATCATCAGTGTCTAAGTGCATCTGAAGCACATAACCTTCAGAAATTTTCGGACGAACATTTTCAAGCGTCAAGGCACGCTCACCAGAGAAATGTACCTTTAGAAGATCTCCTTCGCGAATATTAAGTGCGTCAGCATTACTTGGTGTCATGTGGATGTGCCGTGCAGCGCAAATAGCCCCTTCCTCTAAATAGACACTTCCTGCGGGCCCGATAAGGGTAATAGGTTCGGCACCAGCAAGGTCGCCTGAGTCTCGAATAGGAGGGCTTAAGCCGAGCCGAATCGCTTCTGTTTGCGCAACTTCTACTTGGGAGTAATCGCGTACGGGCCCAAGGATACGAACGGCTTCAATAGCACGCATCCGTTTTCCGACGATGGTCAGTGTCTCATTCGCTGCAAACGCTTCTGGTTGATATAGAGGCGCGTAGACGGTGAGTTGGTATCCGGCACCATAAAGAATCTCAAGGTGCTCCTGTGTTACATGGGCATGTCGTGCTGAAACCCCGACGGGAATCTGTTGCTGTTGTGTGACAGCGTCACATGCGCGGTTTCCGGCATCACAACTTCTCAAAGCACAACCACTACACGCTTGGTCCGTCGTCAGTCTGTCCACGACACGGCGGGTAATCAACTCAACAAGGGCACGGTCTGGCATCTATGTTCGCCTTTTCTGTTAGGATGTTCCAAACGTTCTTAGGCAACGTGTGGTCAATCCACTTACGAATAGTTTACGCTTTCTTTAAAATAGTTTCGACTTCAGCATGTGGACGTGGAATTACGTGAACAGAAACAACTTCTCCGACGCGTGCAGCTGCTTCAGCACCGACATCCGTTGCGGCTTTCACCGCACCGACATCGCCACGAACCATGACGGTCACATAACCACCGCCGACTTGCTCGTAACCGATAAGTTGGACATTCGCCGCTTTCACCATTGCATCGGCAGCTTCAATACTCCCAACCAAGCCTCTCGTTTCAACTAAACCCAATGCATCTCCTATCATATTAATTCTTGCAGCCTCCTATTGAAAATCCAATAACAAATAAAAGTAAATTTTCGCGCGCAAAAACTGAGGGCAGTCAAGCAAATGCTAAACACCACACCTTTAAAGTATATCACAATTTCCCGATTTTTTCAAGAAAAAAACTAAAAACGCGTTTATGTATTTCATTGGTGTCTTTTTCTGCTTTGTCAACTTTGCTCAATTTTTGGTAGGCAAAGGCGCGCCAGTAGTAGATTTGTATGAGGGCATTCGGTTCGCCTTGCCATGTCTGAATTGCGTCGGTGAGGAGTTTTATAGTGTATGTATAATCCTGAGTTGCTGATGCATGTTCTCCCAAGTGTGTGTAAGTCTGTGCGCGACTGATATAGGCACTGGCGAAACGCGGTTCCAAAGCAATGGCTTGATTTAGATCCGCCAATGCGAGTTTTAAACGGCTCTTATCACCTTGAATGGAAAGTTGGAGGTAGACGTTACCGCGGGTGTAGTACGCTGTCATAGTCGGTTGTCGCTTAATTACAGTATCGTAATCGGCGAGCGCATTCTGAACATTGCCTCCCTCAAAGTAGGTTTCCGCACGTTTCTGCATGACGTATGCGTTCCATCTTCTTTTGAGCGAGGCAGAGTAGTCTTCAATAGCGCGTTGTGTATCCTCTAACGCGCGATAGGCATCGCCACGACTTGCATAAGCATCGGCATGATACCTGTTGAGTCCTAACGTTTGGGTGTAATCTGCGATAGCGGTTTTGTACTGTGCAGAATGGTAATAAGCGAGTCCACGTTTCACGTAAGCTTCAGCATACTTTGGCTCAATCTCAATCGCCCGCGTAAATGCTGCTATTGCTTGTGGAAGTTTCCATGTCCTGAGTGCTGTTGTTCCTTCTTGAACGTATGTCTGTGCTTGCTGATTCTCGCCTTTTATCGCATCCCATGTTACAAAGCGAGAGGCGAGGAAGATCGTGAGAACCAATACGGGGATCATGATGTAAATGAGTGGTCGCATGATGTGGATCTGTTAGTCCGATTTCGGTTTTCCAGTTTTGTCGTACAGATGATGAATATTCACCCCTAACTTCAGTTCGTGGACAGAGGTGTATGTCTCTGTTAAGTCAATTTCGATATAGGTTGGAATACCCGGCAAGCCACTATAGCCTGTTGAAAAGATGAGTTGATTTTCACCAAATGTTGCTATACCGTCTCTGACGTTTTGTGAGGGAAAATAATGAATTGGGGTATGTCCAACAATAAGGAGATTGGCGTGGATGGTTTCAAGAAAATTTTCAATATGTGTTACAGTGTATCCGCCACTATACGCGATAGTAGGACGATGCCAGAGGAGTTCTTCAAGGGTTTTAGGACTTGGATTAACGAGATCAGTAAGACTGGTGATGAAACGTGCCGGACCGCCATGAATACCGACAAAGCCGTTTTTTGCAATAATGACTGTTGGTAGATTCGCAAGAAATTCATAGTGCGTGTCTGTCATTCTCTCAATGAAATTGAATTGTTCATAGTAGGCACCGGATGGGCTATTGTACAATGCCCGGATGAAGATATCCTGATTTTGTGCTGTCATCCCTTGTTTCTTCAGCATCGCGTATGCATCTGCGGCGGCAAATTCGTGGTTACCTCTGAGATAGATGAGTCTTTTGCCTTTATCGCCAAGTTGTCTTTGGAGTTCCATAACCCTGTCAATAATTAAAGTATCACCATAAGGCGGGTGTCTCGGTTCACCGGGCTTATAGTCAATTGCGTCACCGAGTATCAATCCGTAAACATCTTCGCCTGCTTGAATCCGTTCAACAAGTTTTGTGAGTCGTAACCATTGATTAAAGTCGTCCCAATGTGCATGCAGATCGGAAACGATGTAGACGGTACCGTGGTCTGGTAAAACAAGGATATGCCCGTCGCGCGTGAGTTGATCCGGGTACTGTGCGAGTAATTTGGGTTGTGCTGTCGCCACGGAAGCGAGACAGATAAAACAGAAGGCAGCGTAAATCAGAGAGGTATTCATTAGTTTTAAGTCCTGAAGAATGTGTCCACAGTATCTTCTTGTTGTGCGAGTTTATTGAGGTGTCGCTGTCTACGATTCCGGCGGACCAGATAACCGAGGAGTGCTAACCCGCCAAGTCCTCCCCACAAAAAGTAGGAATTGGAGAAGACGGATGCCCACCGGTAACGTTCCGCTAATGATTCGCGCCAAAGGACATCGTAGGTAGCAAGATCCCAGCCAACTACGGTCTCAAAAGCGGTATCGAAGTTGTTGCCTGCATGGAGTTCCGCGATAAGTGCAAACAGCACGTCTCGACCTTTGATTTCGACCAACCAACGGAGTGCGTCTTGGCTCTGCGCGTATGCCAAATCCGCACCGGTTTGCGAACGTGGAAAACCGTCCGCCAACTCTTGAAGTGGTAGGATAGACTTGGAGAAAATATGCTTTAGCAAGTTTCGTGGCGACTCGGCACCCATTCTTCAGCAAGATAGATCGCGATGCCTTCCACAAACCATAAAGGGATTTCTTTAACAGCTTTGCGTGTACACTGTCCAAAGAGAACATGGGCAATCTCGTGCCGGAGGACCTGTGCTAACTGCAGTTTCGCTAACGCGATGTGTGTCCGGTTTTGGATAACAATGCGTCGACTCAGTGGAAAAGCGCACCCGACTGCCCAATCCTGAATTGGGGCGTGAACGGAAGCCTGAAAATCCTTTTGTGTATCGCAGACCCAAATATCAATCGTTCCTGCCGGGATACGGTTTGTCAACTGCGGCATTTCGGCATAGAAGTCCTCCGCAATCTGAAGGATTGACGTTGGGTCTGCCGTCCCTTCTTGATAATAGACCCGGAAATGCGGGCTTTCCAGAGATTCCCAAGTAGCAGATGCAGAAGTTATGGGCAGCATTAATAAAAGGAGAACAAGGCTTTTCATAATCTTTGCATGTCACAAGTTATTCACTATTGAGTGCCTTAAAGCGAGTCGCTTGACTCACCAGATTCATGAGTTCATCCACCGACGCATTCGGGATTTGAGGCGCGATACCTTTGAGACTTTGCGATACTGCCTCCAAGCTTCCTTCTTGAGCCCAAAAACTCTCACGCAGGATTTCTGCGAATTCCGCTACAGTTGCGGCGAGTTGAAATTCAGGCGACGCTGCTTGAAATGTGCCTTTCAGTTCTGTTGTGAAGATATCCTCGTTGATTTCCGATACACGATGGGTATCTGGATTTTCATGACGGATAAAGACGTTGCCACTTGTCCGGTAGCACCTTCATGGAGTTTAATCTCGTAGAGGGCTGTGACACTGTGACCTGAACCAATTTCCCCGCCATCTGCATCGTCATCACGGAAATCTTCGTGATCAAGGCGACGGTTTTCATAGCCGAGCAGACGGAAGCGACTGACGACTTCAGGATTGAAATCGACCTGAACTTTAGCATCTTTAGCGATGACTTGTAATGTCCCTGTTAGGTTTTCAACAAAGATACGCTTTGCCTCGCTGAAGGTATCAACATAAGCGTAGCTGCCGTTGCCCTTGTTGGCGAGTTGTTCCATGAGGACATCGTTGTAATTACCCATTCCAAATCCGACAGTTGTTAACGTAATCCCTTCCTCAACATGGGATCGAATTTTTTTGAGGATGGCATCGGGTCCTGTTTCTCCAACATTCGCGACACCATCCGAACAGAGAATGACGCGATTGATGTTCCCAACCTTCGTATTTTGTAGGGCATGCTTGTACCCTAAACGAAGTCCTTCCTCTGCGTTCGTGGAACCTCCGGGTTCAAGGGAATGGATCGCCTCCAAAATCTCCTCACGTCCCTCAATTCCCGTATGCTGAAGGACAGTTCGCGCCTTCGATCCGTAAACAACAATAGCAACCTCGTCGCCTGGACGGAGTTGTTCAACCAGAAGCGTTAAGGCACGTTTCACCAATCCCAATCGATTTTCCATAGCCATTGAACCGGAGACATCAATCACGAAAGTCAACGTCGCGTCTTTACGATTTTCGTCGGGAACGACGCGGCCTTGGATACCGATACGCAGCAATTGGAGTCGTTTGCCTTCACCAAATCGGGACGGCGCGCCCTCAACGTGAACAGCAAATGCATCCTGCGACGGAGGGGCATAGTTATAATCAAAGGCGTTAACGAATTCCTCAACGCGCACGGCTTCCGTCGGAGGAAGATACCCATCCCGGAGATAACGTCGCGTGACGGAGTAGGAGGCGGTATCGACATCCATACCAAACGTCGAAAGGTGGTCGTCTTCTGTATCAATAAAGGGGTTCGTGCCATACTCCTTAAAAAAGACGTCGTCATAAGCGGCACCGTTTGGCGGATTTAAACCTGGTGGAATATATCCAAAGTCAGATTCCGCTGCAAATTCCTCAGCATCTTCACTGCCGCCACAGCCCGTGTAGGTAAAAAGCATCAATCCACACATCATGAGCGCAAAGCTTAATGTATAGAGGATTTTTAGTTCTACTTTCATCAGAAATAACTCCTTTTTTATTAGTAAATGTGTGTGCCTACGTCACTATAGCCGTTGTAAATTACTGTTGAGTATTTCCCAAGTGCCAATAATCTTCTCAGTGTGATTGATCCGTACAGAAACTCGGACAGCTAACGTTTGTAGATCGGAGGTTAGAACGGAGGTTCTATACTACCTAAAAATGCCTCTATTCCCTCTCTACGTCTATTGCAGCGTTGATTTTTTTTACGACGAAAACCTCCGATCTGTATGCACTTTTCATCTATTTCCGTTTTCAGTTCTGGATGCTTTTATTTTATTGCTGTCCGCAAGTTTGAATATCATATTTCCGTTTTTGCGGTTCATAAGCGTTGGAAGTATGGAAGTTGGGAAGATAGCAAACACGGCGGTTCTTCCAGCCTTCCTGTTTTCCCCTTCCTCAAAAACTGAAATGTGTTTCTTAATATTGCTTTTGAGGTAAAAATAAGGAGGCGTTTTCAGATAACAGATACTTTTCAGTCAGCATTTTCATAA